CTGCACACTTTCGGCAGAGCGGCCCGTAGCGGAAGGGTTAATACGATTTACGACTCTTCGTCGAACTCGAGAAATTACGTAACCAACGAAATAGAAGATGAAGCGCAGAGAGCGAAAGAAGATCAAGAAAGAGAAACGGAGTTTCTCCAGAATCGGAGGGTTTGCGTTTGCGTCATCCCGGGATTTCTAGATTCACGATTTACGAGCGCGGTGGATCGGTGGAGGACGTGCAACTTTACTGTCAACCGAGTCCCCGTGTCGTTGTAAAACATCGGAACAAAACCAGCCGCATAACCCAAACAGGCGATTCGGTTACGTAATGCGGGAGGAGGGAGGAGGGACGCTATCGTATCGCCAATGAGTCATGGGCGACGCGCGCCCGTATCTTATGCGACGTATGTAGTACTTACTACTCGGACGTGATCGGTCCGGAGGAAAGGAAAGAGAGCATGAGAACCGCTGCCGGTACACGTGCGCACGCACGAGGATTTCGCGACATCTACAATCTGGCGGCATTTAATCTTCCTCCTCCTCCTCCTCCCCCCGAAGAAGAAGAAGAAGAGCATTTTGAAAGCTTCGAAACGCAAAAAAGTTCATCGAGAGTGGAGTACAACTATAGAGTTAGAGATTGAACTTTCAGATCGATTCCAATAAATAACAGCATGAAATAAAGGATTATTTTAACTGTAAATATCGAGCTGGATTCTACGTCAACCTTGCAAAATAAACAGCTTTCAAATCAAAATTATAATCACTCTCACAGGCAAAGAAACAAAGAGCCACGAGAGTAGAAAACACTCCATCTACCATTGAAATAAAATAAATTACCAAAGATACAAAGTGACGAGACTAAATAACATTCGTCAATTCAAAGAGATTCCAAAAAAAAACACGTTTCCCCGAGGAGTCGATTAGTCGGCTAAACGGCGATAAGCAGCGCGGCTAATCTGATCGGTGTGTACGCGTCGGGGATCATCGTGTAATAGAAGTAGTTTAGGTAAGCGTTAATGGAGACACGGGGGTGCATCGGCCCTTAAACGTTACACGGGCGCGCGTGTTGGTGCGCGGCTGCAGCGTGCAGAGCCGCGAGCTGGCATCTGCTATGAGTCACGGGTGACGAATAGCCGGACAGAGAGACGGGAGAGAAAGCGGGAGAAAATCGCTGCGTGGCGGCCGAGTGGGGGATTGCGAGAAGGGAGTGTTACAGATAAAGGGAGAAAAACGAGGAGGAAGCAAGGGGACTAACACGATTAGTGCCGTAATGCGATCTCGAAGAAAGAAGCGAAAGAGAAGTTGAAACCGTTGGAAGAAGCTTCGGCAGGGAGAAGAAGGGTGCGCGGAAATTAGTCACGGAAGGAGGCGGAGACCATATTTTGGTAACAGAAGGCGCGTGTGTACACACTGACGGAAAACCGTGACACCTGTCGCGATGTCAAAAATGATACCAGGTTCCGGGAAATCCGGCGTTCTCGCTCTATTTGCCTTCTGCCCTGAGAACGCTCTAGGCTAAAATTAATTTATGCTACTCGAACGTATTTAATCTGTAATTCTGATACCCTATAGCAAGCAATTCATTACGTTCGTTGCCAATTTTTCCATTTGGATTGGGCGGACCAAAACTCATTTTTTAGAGAATGAACCAATTACACCATTACAGACGTGTTTAACCCCTCGCCTTACGATTTTCTTTTCAATATTCAGTAAACATTGATTATAATATGTGCAAATATGTGCAAAGTGTTGAAAGCATTCAGCTTGAAGAATTAAAGCTTCGTAATTACAACTCGAAGGATTGAATGATCTTTACTGAATACAAATAGTCAGACTCGTTGATCCCGCGTAGATCAGGGAACACGCAGCAAATGCAAAATTCCCAACGGAACTCGTCACCGTGGCACGCTCGTTTTTCCCTCGCCAGCGCGGCGCAGTTTGGTGTAACGGAAACAGGGTGTAACCAGCCGTTTCCGGTGGACCATTCACCGTGTGCGAGGACTAGAAGACGAAAGGTTTCCATTCATGAAACCATGAGTCACTGGCGTGCGCGCGCGCGTGCAAACGCACCAACGAATGCACACCCGTGAATACCCTTTCATGGTGGCCCAGTGTCGGCCTCTCGAACGTCTCTCCTCTGTGTTTATTGCACCGCATTCTACTCCACGCGCACGGACGTGTGTGTAACGCGAGACGACGCTCATCGATCACACGCGTGCACGCGTGTGTGCGCGCATCATCAACGTTCGCAAGGAGGGTTCCTACCGAATGTGCAACTGGTGGAATGCTGTACCTGGCCAACCGACGACCAACACCGTAGAACCGTGAAATGAAGGGCACACGTTGGTGCCATTGACCGTTAAAGCCACCTCCTCGACGAAACAAACAAATCCGTGGCTGCTTTCCCACCCTCTCTCCAGAGCCCGATCTCTCGATCTATTGGGAATTTTCATCGACGTGTCGAGGAATCGTCGAGTTAAATATCGAATTGAAACATTGAACATGAATGGAAGCATCAATCACAATCGGAGAAATAAAGCTAGCTGGTTGAAACGAATGGTTTGGTTTGGTCGAGTCGACAGATAGAAATTTCAAAAGATTTTGAAAGGAGCACGTAGAGTGAATGGGGGCGTGTAATTGCAGGGAGCGATCAGGACAATGCTCGATTTTTATGATCTCTTGCGCGTTCTAATTACATTACTACGACTGCAATCTTAATTTATTTCTCAGTTGTTTGATTAAGGGTTACGAGACGTTATGTAATATTTCCTTCGGCCAGGCTCGTTCCACGACTCGAAATAAAGCAATCAGGTTAGGTGAAAAGTTCAACCGGGGCCCCCTCTTCACAAAGGATCCGGAGTCCTTGGTTCCCATGAAGGGAAATAAAGAACGCCCGAAATCCAGACCGTTAGGAAGTTTCTTCCATCTTGTTTGGCATGGTTCAGGCAAGGCTATTGCTGCTCTATCGTTCAATTTTTTTTTTTTTTTTTTTTTCGACTCAACCATCGATTCCTGATAATGCTGTAGAGGCTGACTTTCGTTCTTTAAAATCCGATTAAGAATCTACATTTTAACATTTTCCAAATAACAAAACTGGATTTTAAACGCCAATGACGATCATTGGCCGGGGAACACACCCAGTCAACCGAAAGAATTACTCATCGACAGAGGCCAACATCTCTCTTTGTCAACGCTCTCCTCCTCATCCTCCCCCCCCCAGGCTCGACTCTCACGGTGAATTAAACGCAGCAGCCTCCTCGAATGTCGCGGCCTAACGAGCCGACATATTGCACCGTCAATGCAATTAGTCCAATTTACCCTAACCGGTGATCCTCGTATTTTCGTTGAATCACACGCAACAGGTTCGAGAGCGTTCAATGGCAGCCGCCAACGAGTTCGTTCGTCCAATGTCAACACGCGGCTGCGAACTCTACTTGTGCGTCACTTGTTCGAATGGCGCTCCGGTTGTTTAATGAATAGAAGCTCGTTTCCATTGATCGCGCAACTGAATCAACTTTTCCCTCCTTTTTCTCATTCTGAGGAGCATGGCAAACGCGAGAGAAACGTTCGATCACTATTGCTCCGTCGAAAGCATTCCAAGAATTTTCATTACATTTTCCAATCCATTGGGATTGAGCCTAGTTCACGAGTAAAATAGATATAAACCCCTGTCGTATGGAGAGTGAACGCTCACCAATGAAGTCGAACGCCTCCTCGAAGTACTGTTTAAGGTTCTGATGGCCAGAATCCGAAGCAGGAATTTGCCTGTACGTGATGCCCCTCTCCTCGTGGTATCCGGGCAGTTGAGAAGTGACGTTGAGGACCCTGGTGGCGCCCAATGCGCGAAGAAGCTGCAGATCGGCCGCGTCCCTGCCGTTCCCAAGATAGAGAAACGGAAGGACCCTCGAGGCTGGGTGACTATCGATGTCCGCCGGTTGGGGGGTCGGTGGCCCAGACAGACTCAACACCGGACAACCTGGCCCTGGACTGGAACAACCAGCGACCGTGGATGGGCCAGCTGCGACCGTTGGCAGAAGCGTGTCCTCGCAGAGGTCCCTGTGCCGCCTATGAAACTCCTTGTGTCCACCTGAAAGTAATCGAAAGGGATTCGTTAGTACTTTTTTTTTTTTTTTTTTTTTTTTTTTTTTGATTTTCGAGCTGGTCGGAAGCCTAACGAGACACCGAGGGGCGTGTGAAACTGGTCCTCCCGGGGGAAGCGTCGAGTTACTTTGAAAATACCGATACAGCAAACAGGAACAGATGGTGCTCGCTCGATCCTGTGATTTTCGTAGCTTGGCGCGAACATCAGGGGATGTTCAACCCCCTTTGTCCGTAGGCAAACGTATTTTTCCGCGTATAATTTCCCAAACCCGTCCGTCGCAGTATATTCGAATACATGTTTTTTTTTTTT